AAAGGAGACGTCCTTTTCTACCCAGTGCGTAAAAGAATGAATATTTTTATGCATATTTTCCATGAGATATAATTTAATATACAAAGACATCGAAAATCAATGAGGAAAACGCATGCTACTTAAGTAGTCATTTTCTGTAGTGGGGTTTTTGCATGCGGCCGGAAAAAAAGTTCGTTCAAAAGCCGACATCCTGAGGTTACTGATTTATTGTAGAATCATGCTGCATTATGATTAGTTTTACAACCCAACTGAAGTAATCTTTTCGAGTCAAAAACGCTTTTCAGAATTTCGGTTAACATTTCATAAGTTAGTACACCAGCTGTATGTCGGAAGTCACGCGCATGGAACAGGAGGACTTCGTAGCAATTATTTTAGAGTGAAGTGGATGGACAACCTTATTCAAAATGCGATCAGCAAATTGCTCGATCGTTTTGAGATGTCGTTGTACTATAATATCGGCTAAAATGGCATTAGAAACACCAGAGACACAAGGGAGCATCGGTAGTATTCGTTTTGAAATTAACATTTTTTAAGCATGGCGGAAAAAAGGGGAACAATGAATAATGAGATTTAGAACAAAAACATCTATAAATCTCCAGATTAGGGGGCTGAGTTATGATAGAAACTTAAACGATGAATGCGATAATTATCTCTAATTTTAGTGAAAGGGCTTAAATACGAAGAGAAAGTAAAAGATTTGGCGTCAAATTAACACCTAGGTACCGGAAAGAGGATGGCTCATTGGGATGGATATCCAGAAATTGAGGACATAGAGCAAGTCGCAGTCGCAAAACGCAAAAAACTGGTCTATGTTTATTCTCTAATGTGCTGGTCGTCGCTCAAGCTTCTAGAGCTTGCCGTTATCGCAACGACTACTTATGGAAATACAATGGTGGTTGCCGCGAAGGAGGTCTACCGGGTGTCCTCACTCCTACTTATGCCAGTTAGATATCCTTTATAATAGTTGGTAACAGGTCCCTCCAACTCCTAACCAGAAAGACCTAGGGATGTTTATCTCAAAGAGGAACAGACCGTGGCATAGATATAAAAAGAAGTAATCTGAAACGATGACCTGCCTGATCCAAATACAGCACCATTTTTCTGTTTGTCAGCAGCAGTACATGCCCAGTCGCTTCTAACTGCCATTTGAGGAATTCCTGGTTGATGCACTATCACTTTATTTGCAGTCCCATATCTTAAGACGCAATTCCGGCCACGTTGGTTTGGGAGCTTTGTCCAAAATCCAGAGTAGTCAGGCCAGTTTTCGGAAGGAAAAGTAAATACTCTAAATTAGTTATTAATCAATTGTTCACATTAAACTTCATCAGAACTTCAAATAAATGGGGGCAAATGTTCGAGTTTCAGGTTATGACTAGGGACGAGGAAGACTGGTCAAAAACCGGAACTATTTCTTTAGTTTTTGGGACATTTCAGCTCGTACAGCAATCCGCCGTCA